TCTCTCTCTCTCTCTCTCTCTCTCTCTAACCCATTACTTTAATACTGTTTAATATACAGTACATTATTATATCATTATCTCCTCATTTAAATATTGTTTAATTAGTAAACACTAATTTAAATGACAATCAATACTGTGTTTAATAAGCGACCTGTCTCATTGAATAATGACATTGAAATTAAATATACCCATTGATCATACAATATAATGCAAGTCCACATGATTTTATTGAATAACATTTATTGATTCATTGATGTTTACCTATGAACCATATTATACTAACAATTATTTGGTAGTCTATTATTTAATACCTGCAGTCATATCTATTATTATCGTCGTGTCACAAGACTCATGTATACCGTATAACTGTCTCGTGTATTATACTTGTATTCAATATTTGCCTAAAATGTACCGCAATTTGTATTCAAAAAGTTTGTACTCAAGTATTTAAATGTCAGTATTTTCTCTACTCTAAAATTAAACTGATAAAGTGTATTTCCCATGTGACATCTTTATAACAGTTATAAAATAAACCTATTAATTCATTAATTAAAAATTATCTATTTTAAATGTAACTTTTAATAATTATATTTAGAAATATCAATCTAAAATATATAAATCCAATTTTTAAGTTTGTAATTTATAATTAAATATGAAAATGCTACCAGTATTTATAATGAAATATAATTTTCAATATATTTTTTATGTATTTTGTATTGATTTGAACTTCAATTTTGAAATTCTAAAATAAATATCTTACCTAGATAATAATAAGTTAGATTGCTTTATTTATTATAATTGGATATATGAGAAAATATATTTATAAATTAGCTTAATTAAAATTTTGTATTATTAAAAATTGATTTATTTATAAGTTAGTAAAAATATTCATCTATAAATTGTTTATATAATCTTAGTTTTCTGTAAGAATTTTTTCAGTTAACTAATTCAATCAGCACTCAAAGTAAAAACATTTGATAAATTATTAATTTTTACACCTTGGTTTTGCTTTTATTTTAAATATTATTACAGTATAATCTAGACAATAAATTATTTATACAGTACAGTACTTGAATGAATATAATTAATTGTAAATCTTAATTTAATTTATGGAAAAATTCAATAAAAAATTAAACGAATGAATACTTATTTTAAACAATTTCAAATTTTGAATACTTTATAAATTTTTATCATTTAGAGAGAGAGAGAGAGAGAGAGAGAGAGAGAGAGAGTATGTTATACAATATTTGATATTTGATGGATTATATGATTATTTAAAACTTGATATAACTTATAAGTGATTCATAAAATATTCCCAAAATATAGTTCAATGCCTTTTGTGGGTCAGAATGACATGATTATCATTATATGTTTGACTCGTTTTTTCTAACGACTATTAGTTTTATTTCCCGGAGCCGTTTGGCTAACGGGCCAATATTATATCACTTGATTAGTCTATTAATTTAAATATATACACGTGCATTGATACAACAAAAAGTTTATTACACTTTTTATTTATTAATCTAAACATAATTAAAATAATATTTTAATGACTTAATAGGTTAGTAATAAAATAATTATTATAAAAATCACGGTATATTTTTAAGTATTTTTACTAAATAATTTTAAAACCATTTGGTGAAAATATAATTTTAAAACAATTTTCTATGTATACTGTTAATTACATAAAAGTTTGTTTTTAGTATATTATTTGATTTTATAATAGGCAGAGAGGGCGGGAGGGAAAGGGTGAGGGTATCACAGAGTCTGAGCTATTATGGACTGACTCGTGAGGGCATTGAAAAAGCAATTATTTGTGAGTTTTATTATTAGTTGAAAATACTGGTCCAATATTTGGAGCACAAAAATCAAGTACAAACTGAAATTGTTTTCCATTATTAACACAGTATTGAATTAATTCATAACATTTTGTGTAAATTATATTTTTTCGCCTCACATTTGATGTCAAATATTAACTCATTTATAGAAATGATTTTTAAATTAAATACTTTTGAGTTGAGAAGTAAAGGGAGTAATGAATATATTTTGAGAGATCATGTTTATTTGACCACAAAACTAGAGTATAAATTTTTTTCAATCATTTAGACATTTATAAACTTGTAATTAATGATTAATGAAAAGAAGTTTATTTGGAAAAGTCAGTTTTTAATTTTTTAACACAAAACCAAAAATATGTTAAATGTGTTTATTTATTCAATTAATTATGAATAAAAATACAGTTTATAGTAACTATATGACAAGTGTTTAAATATAGTGTTTGAGTAGATCTTTATTTTTATTATTAATATTATGTCGATATTTAACACACATATTAAGGTTAACTACTCTTAAAATTTGAATAATTATTAAATAAATACAAACTCCTTTATACAGTACAAAACCTGATTAATGAAAACTTAGGGGCTCCTTTTGTACAAGGTATAAGTATAATATTTAAGTATAAACATTACTTCATGAATAAGAATTGGTTTAAAATGTAGATATTTAAATTAATATAATGTTTTGTTTTTTGAATACAGTAAATATTTGCACTATATAATAATAGTTTATATTGTAGGTAACAGTAACACATAGCAATGGAAATAATAATAAGCAATGGATTAATGCCATAAAGTAAATTAATTTTAAAATAGTAAAAATGTTATAATTAAAATACGGTATTTTTAGAAATATTTATAGAAAAAATATAACAAAGTGATATATTTTATAATAAATAATTTATTATCTTAAATCGTAAAAATAAATTACAATATCTACGGATTGAATGCAATTCCGATTAAAATTTATATTATAAACAAATAAACAATAAAAATAATTTATTTGTATCTCAATTTGTTTGGCGTTTAATATAAAAAAGGAGTGAAAAAAATAAATTATAAATTGATTTTTGACACAAATTTCTCAGGTTTTTCTACAGGGATTAACGTAATAAACCATAGATCTAGCTGTAGATAGTAATTGAGATAAGGGACCCCGGACTTGAATGACTAGAAAAACGTATTTTCTAATAATAAACACCGAAAACATTTGCTCTCCTTTTCCCACCGTCTCTCACGATCTGTACCTCAAAAATAAGTCCAAATTATTTTTCTTAAATTTATTTTTCATCGAAAGTCTCAAACAAAAAACAACAAAAGTTTATCAAAAAGTTATTATTTTTTCTCTTTTATTATCTTATAATCAATTATCAAAAAAATATAATCTAATAATAATTTTCTACTCAAAAAAATGCTTTAAAAATGTTTCAAATCTACGACCAGATTATAACTATAAGCCAATCAATTGTCACATCATTATTGAGGTCGACCTCTAGTATACCATACGTGCCATTAATACCAGCGGTTGTGCTAATCATAATTGAAACTCAATTTCAACACTTCTTTTACGTCTCAAGACATCAATGGCTTAATGAATACGACTATATCGTGATCGGTGCCGGGAGTGCCGGTGCTGTAATGGCCGCCCGACTCTCGGAGGACCCCTCTATAAGCGTACTGTTATTGGAGGCCGGGATGGCTGAGAACATCCTATCGGACGTTCCCATGAATAGCATTAATCTGCAGACATCACCGAT